ATATATATATATATATATATATATATATATATATATATACTGTGTGTGTGTTGTGTGTGTGTGTGTGTGTGTGTGTGTGTGTGTGTGTGTGTGTGTGTGTGTGTGTGTGTGTGTGTGTGTGTGTGTGTGTGTGTGTGTGTGTGTACATACATACATATATATATATATATATATATATATATATATATAATATATATATATATATATATATATATATATATATATATATATATATATATATATATATATATATATATATATATATATATATATGCACACACACACACACACACACACACACACACACAATATTATATATATATATATTATATATATATATATATATATTATATATATATATATATATATAATACATAGATGTCTATATATATATATATACCTGCACATATGTATGTGTGTGTGCACATACATATACTTACATATCCCCACAATAAGAAAGGAATTTGAATCGTAGCGTTTGAACTCGTCAGCAGTTTTTTAATCAGACGGATAAATGACAGAAATGGAAACAGAGACAGAATTATACAGCAGCAAAAAGACAACATGAGGAAGAGCTGAATCTGGTCCTAGGTGGAGGGTCAAGGTCAAAGAGTTGTGCAGGAGGAATTGCTTGCAAACGACGGAGTATTTTGGGCAATTTTCTAATTCACGGGGATTCTAGCATTTTCCTGTCCGTGAGAATTTACCGATTGAAGAATTAGTTGAGCCTCTTTGCAGGTAAGCTACAGGTGACCTTCCTTGCGGGAATGAATGAAATTGGCATTCGTTTCTTTGACGTTTCTAACAACACGTTTATGTTCGTTTTCTTTCCTAGCTCTGTCGATTTTGCCTATGTAAAAAGAAAAGAAGAAGAAGAAGAAGGAGGAGGAGAAGAAGAAGAGGAAAAAAAAGTAATGCGATTGAGTTCGTTCAAACAATGCCAAGTCCGATTCTTTTAAATGATGTTTAATGAACAATTAATTTTAAAAATTGGCACTGTCATGCTGCGTATCACAAGAATGAGTATAGAATTTCCATTTCGCTGATGAATGTAGCTGTTGTAAGGGAAAAAAGAGGTTATCCTGATTTAGAAAAGGTTTCAAAAATTATATCGAGTTTGATAATGCTCTATGAAATATTGACAACACTACTGATATCTTAACATATAACGAATGGTTAAAAAAAATAATAACTGAATAAATAAATAAAACGAAGGCATTTAGCGGTGTGAGTTAGTTTACGGAAAACTGAAAATTCGCGCGAAGCCATTTACATTGCGTAACACAACGTCGAGATTTTTTGTTTTCCTGAATCTTCCCTTTCTACCTTAAAACTGAAAGTAAGGGCGAGTTTGTTGAGTGTTTTAAAACTCCAACCGGTTTACTTACCACATAGAAAAAAATCTGGAGGGATCTGCATAAAGGGACTAAATTGATTCCCATCCCGTTATAGAAATAGAACACACGCCCTGAGCAGGAATAAAATCTTTGCCACTTCAAGTAGGGCAGAATGGCCAGTGCTAATCCAACTACGTTATTCATCTACGTCAGTGCTTCACTGTTTTTTTCCATCTTTCACGTCTCTATATTCGTTTACATGTTTGTATGTGTGTGTGTGAGAGAGAGAGAGAGAGCAGAGAATATGTATGTATTCACTTTCCTTTTCACACACACACACACACCACACACACACACACACACACACACACACACACACACACACACACACACACACACACACACACACACACACACACACACACACCACAACACATATATATATATATATATATATATATATATATATATATATAATATATATATATATATATATATATATATGTATGTATGTATATATATATAATATATATATATATATATATATATATATATATTATATAATATATATATATAATATATGTATGTATGTATGTATATATACACGCACCTCTCCACTACTCTCTCTCTCACTCTCTCTCGCTCCATACATCTCTCCCTCTCCTCTCTCTCCGCGTGCGTACTTCCACGCACGAATACCCGTCTGTTTGAACGCAGCACACCCCCATACCCCCCCCCCCTCCTCCCGCGGCCGCATCCCACGCGCTGCCAGAGGAGGAGCCGAGGCCGTCATCAAAGAAAACGGGCGTCGGAGTCACCCGCGGCTGACTGCTCCCGACCCGCCGGCCCTCCACCTCTGCCCCTCCACTAATGGGCCTCCATCCACTCCTCCACCGCCGGCCCTCCACCTCTGGCCCTCCACTAATGGGCCTCCAATGCTGGCCCCTCCACCACGATCCTCCACCGCCGGCCCTCCACCTCTGGCCCTCACTAATGGGCCTCCATCACTGGCCCTCCACTAATGGGCCTCCAATGCTGGCCCTCCACCCACGATCCTCCACCGCCGGCCCTCCACTAATGGGCCTCCATCACCGGCCCTCCACCTCCGCCCCCCACCTCTGGGCCCTCCACTAATGGGCCTCCAGCGCTGGCCCACCACCTCCGCCCCTCCACCACTGGCCCTCCACTAATGGGCCTCCATCACCGGCCCTCCACCTCCGCCCCTCCACCTCTGGCCCTCCACTAATGGGCCTCCAGCGCTGGCCCACCACCTCCGCCCCTCCACCACTGGCCCTCCACTAATGGGCCTCCATCACCGGCCCACCACCTCCGCCCCTCCACCGCTGGCCCTTCACCAATGATACTCCACCCACGGCCCTCCATCACCGGCCCACCACCTCCGCCCTTCCATCACCGGCCCTCCACACGACCCTCCCCCACGACCCTCCACCTCCGCCCCTCCCCCCCACAACCCTCTACCCACGACCTTCCACCACCTCCCCGTCCCACCACGACCCCTTCCCCACGACCTTCCACCTCCGCCCCTCTCCCCCACAACCCTCCACCACGACCTTCCCCCACGACCCCTCCCCCCACGACCTTCCACCATCTCCCCCTCCCCTCACGACCCCTCCCTCCACCTCCGCCCTTCCAACCAACGACCCCTCCCCCCACGACCCTCCCCCCACGACCCCTCCCCCTCCGCCCCTCCACCCCCTCCCCTCCCCGGACCCCCACTTCCACCATCGTCTGAATTCGCTGGAAGTCTCCACTCCCGGGGAACGAACCGGCCATTAGACGCTACTTTATGCATCACTTAAGTACAGCTCACAAACCCAATTAATTAATTCTGATCTGATAGCGGAACATTAAGCGTGATTTAGAACCAGATGGCGAGTTGAGTGTAAAATCAGGAAGTCAAACTTAATGATTTACAATCAACTGGCTTCGGCTAACTGCGAATTACCCAAAGCAGATGAACGGGGTCTTAATGATCCGTCGGGACTCCAGTTTCACCAAATTATAGATATGCTGTTGTTTATTTTTTGCAAAGTGTTTACGCGTTTGGCGAAGGTTTGTTTAGCCGCCGAAGGAATTCTCAATCGCACTCGTCAATCAACGGTTACATGCGATGACTGTGATGTACACTGCGAATTCAGTCTCATCTAAAAGGCGTTTTATAAAGTGGGTATTTCCATTCGATTGAAAATAGGGAAGGTGGTTTAGCAATTTGAATCCATTAATGATTCGATATCATAATAATTTGTTTAGAATTCCAAACTGATATAGACTATTTATATACATGCTATGAATGTAAAATATGTGATTATATCCACTTGATCAAAGTGATAGACAAGTGTTTCAATAACGTGCTTTTTTATTCATATTCCTCTACACCTCTGCGATCGTACTACGTAAACCAATAAACCCAAACTAATTAAACCAAAACGACATCCCAATAAGGAATAATTTCAATCTCTCTCCCTCACCCTCGATCGCATACTTCCACCCTCGGTTGCAGAGAAGCGAAAACACAAATGATTACACCTCTGAACAGGTTTGCAACGGGACGCGCTCGCTCATACTGCCCCTTTCAAGTTTTGTGATCAAATAAAATGTTGTTGGGGGCGGTGTTGTCGTCGAGCTAAACACCTGTTCAAGCATGGGACTCGTTTTTTTAGGAGACAAGTAGCGGAGTGTTCATCCAACGTCTATATCCACTTGGAAAGAATTTTTATTTACTTCGTTTTGCTTTGTTTCGGATGTAGACGTAGGGTCGAACGCGGGGGGGGGGGGTTATCTCTCATGCCAAGAAGCCTTTGATGTTCATTCTCTCTCTCTCTCTCTCTTTATGTTTTCCTTCACTCCTTTTCTCCTCCTCCTCCTTCCCCTTCTTCTCCTTCTGTTACGAAGTCTTT